TAAATCCGTCTATCTGTGATAATAGGTCATTGTGTTCTACTGATTCCGGACTAGATTTCCGCTACCGCATAGGATGCAAAAATGCTCAACAAGATGACGAAAAAACGCCTGCCACCGAAGACGCTTGATGCCGAAAAGATAAAAATGGTATGACCTTCACAATGGTGAAAATTTTACGGCTTTTTTTGAGCAAAAAATTTGTTTTTATACACTAGAATTTTTTCATAATTTTTTCTATTCGATTGACTTAACTTCTAATTTAAATTCCACAATTTTGCAATGATGACTTCATTTATCACAATTACCTATAAATCCTAAAGTTTCAGATAACACTTAAGCCCACAAAAAATCGAGAGAAAACTAAATTCACAATTTTTTTGGAAAATAATCGAGATAACGTTCCGTGATAATTGCGCATAAAATCATTGGTGCCAGGAACTTCCGGCCGGATTTGAAGTGGCACCATTCGTTTTTCTTATTGGATACATCAGTACCTTTCATTTGATTCCTCGATCAAGTGGATACGTGATGGGGATGATTTGCTGAAAAAAACTACCCCTTCACATGCTGGTGCCGCGGCGACGCGGCCAAATGGGAGGTGGCACCAATACATTTTTCGCATCGCATAATTGCCGCGCATATTCCGGAACAAGGATTTTTTGGTGACCCTCGAAAATAAGCAATGTTGAAAAATTGAGCAATAAATAATTTTTTTTATTGCTCTTTCGGCCAAAACTTCACTGGCACCATGACATTTTTCAAAAGTCTATATACAAAACTTTAATATTCTTGCAATTTCGAGTGGTTACGCGATCGGTCCAAATATTTGCAGCCGGATCTCGGACTAGTAGGAAGACCTCTAGATGATACTCTGGAAAACGCATTCACTGAGTTATGTCAAGGTATCGAAAGTGACAATGAAAATTGCGTGGAAAATTGTCAATTTTCTAGGAAAGAATTGCTTGAGAAACTGGAGTCCCATTTGCTTCATGACCATGACATTGAGCCATGGTCAGAAAAACATTTAAAATTAGGATTGAAAAAAAATCTATCAAGATAATATAATTGTTACAGAAATACCTGGAAAACCATCAGTGATATGTTGAAAAAAAAATATCAATATAATATAATAGTTACAGAAATACCTGGAAAACCATCAGTGTTATGTTCAAAAAACAATTGTGAATATCTTGTATCCGACGAATAGTTAAAAAAAAGAGACAATAGAAAAAATACACCTGACGAAGAACGAATTTTCATTGTCAAGGCGGCTGCCCAGATATTAAAAGAGGACATTAGGCCAATGGTTAGTAATTTGGATGAGTATCCTTCTTGTGATGACGTCAAATTGGGAAAAAATAGATTTTTTCCAAACTCGCTTAATGTTTTCTTCGAGGAATTATTATTAAAAGAAAAGAAAAGCCCACTATATCACACTAAAGTGTCAGCAATGAAAAACTTTATAATCTCATTGGTACGCGTTAAGTTACCGGTGATGTTCGGCATAGGAATTCAACTCCATCGAAAATATGTATCGAGATATTTAATAGATGTACTTCCAGCTCTTGGTATATCTGTATCTTATTCTGAATGTTTTGCGTTTGAAAATTCGGCAATCATTAATCACAAAGACTCTATACGAAGAAAGTTTTGTGCAGTTCGTATATGAAAATGCGGATTTTAACATTAGAACAATCGATGGACATGAAACTTTTCATTCAATGGGGGAAATAATGTATTGTTCGCCTTCTGATTGCTCTTGAATTCAAAGTATTCCTAGGTCAAAACATCGGATTCTGGCATCAAATGTTGGAGAGTTTGGCAGTATAGTTACGTGTGCAGGTAAGATCTTAGAATATTATGGGATAATAAATTTTCAGCATCAATTCTCTTTATCACAGGCCTATAAAAAACCTGCAAAAACTGGACTTAGTGTAAAAGATGAACATTTAGCATTACTACTAGACACCTTGTGGATAGCTGGGAAAGTAATGTCTTTTCCATCAGTATCCTGGAGTGGATTTATGTCTACTCTTAAGTCTGATTCATTAATTATCGATAGAAGTATTATACCCCTGCCCTCTATCAACTTGGACCCCGGCAACTTGAAAACAATTTATACAGCTCTTTTATTTGCGGCCAAAAAAAGTAAGCAGTATGGAAAACCGAGTATTGTTTGACCAACAACTCTTCCAAAAGGCTGTAGATATCGTAGAAGCTTCAAATAGTAGCGATACCGTATCCTCTGTTATTTTAAGGCTCGGAGGATTTCACACTTTGATGTTTTTTATGGGAAGCGTTGGACAAATTATGGCTGGTAGTGGCATAGAAGACTTGCTAGGAACTCTTTATGCAAAAAATACTGTACCACACATGATGAGTGGCCATGCTTATTCTAGATCTTTACGAGGTCATTTACTGATATACGAAGCTCTAATTTCAGTAATGTTAGACGACCCGGAAATCCTCTCATTATCCGAGAACGATATTCAGAATGTTCAAAATTTCTATAACAATCCAAACTTAAGCACTATGAAAGAAAAGAATACTTATTCAAATTTAAAAAAAAGTTCACAAAAGGGTTGACGATTTAGCTAATACAAGTAGAATGGGAAAATTATGGGCAAACTACTGGAATTTCATAAACTTAATTAAACTCTTTATACGAGCTGAGAGAATGGGACTCTGGTGGCTTCACATTCACTGCGTTAAATGCATGATTTTTCTATTTCACGCTACTGGACATTATAATTATGCCAAATGTGCCCATCCTCATCTACTACAAATGGAAAAATTGAAATAAATCAATGACGAAGGATACCAGCGTTTTGTAAACCATGGATTATTTACCATTCGTAGATCAAACAAATTTTGGTCAGGAACATGGAGTGATATAATTATAGAACAAAGTCTGTTGAGAGCCATGAAAACTCAAGGAGGCCTGACCCAAGGGCGTGGTTTTGCTGATTCCTCTTCAGCCAGATGGATATCCAGTATTTCATCATGTATCCCTATCTGTGTATCTCTAGAGGAATTTGTTGAAGTAAAAGCATCTTCAGATCAACATATCGATTTAACTAACGCACGTCAATGGCGGAATGAAAGTGACTGTAACAAAATTGTTGGGTGGCTACAAGATCACAACCCTTTTAAATGCTCGGAGTTTTTGTCCATTTCAACGGGGGTAATTGCTTTTTCTATTGTAAATTGTGATAAGGCGAAAGATATTGGAGAAGACATTTTTAATAGTCATTAAGGAAAAAAATTTACCCATATTCCATGCAAAAGAAAGGAAAATATATCAAAATTTGCTTCTATGAACAGCAGCATCAAATTAAATAAGACATTATGTAAACTTTAACCCTATGCAACTTTTTAACAGGTTAATTTGTTCAAATAAAACACCCGAAGAAATAAAACAATGCTTCAAATATGAACTGTCGCCATATCCCTTGTCACTTTTTAAAGATGGAAACTTGAGGAAGGAATAAAATCACAACTTCTTCAGGAGCTTGATAAAATTCATAATCCAGAAAGAAACCCACAGTCAGATTCTATTTATGTTATCGATGGAGGATTTCTTCTGCATAAAGTCTCATGGCAAAGGCCAGCCACATATGATGATATCTTTATGCAATATGTTCACTATGTAATTCACAACTATAATAAGAATTGTGTTATTGTCTTTGACGGCTATTGCGAGGAGACTTTATCTACCAAAGACAGTCTACAAAGATGCAGATCAAAGGGTGGCTTAGAAATTTCCAAAAATACCCAAGCTTCAGTAATTAAGCTTAAAATGCAATTTATTAGGATCTTTCGCACCTATTTTGAAAAGATCGGTATATCTGTACATCAAGCGGAAAGGGATGCTGACTTTCTTATCGTCTCAACAGCCGTCGATCTTGCAAAGTCGCAAAACCACGTCACAGTTGTCTCAGAGGACACTGATATAATGGTTTTGCTGATACACCATTCAATACAATAAAAACATATCGATGCTTCGTCCGGGAAAAGCAGCAAAAGGTGACAAAATATCAAGGATATGTGACATACAGGACAAATTGGGAGATTTTTCGAAAGATATTTTGTTTTTACATGCCATATCAGGGTGCGATATTACTAAACTAATAACTACTAATAATATTATAATATACAGTTAAAAAAATATAGTTCATATTTGCGCAAAAAATATACATAAAAAATTTAAATATGTCAAATCGATACTGTAAAATGGTAATATCTTCTTTATCGTCAACTTTAGAGAAAAACTGTTCCAAGATAAAATGTTCATAATTTTATTCTTTACAAAAATTGTCTCTTTAGTTTTTTTGAAAAACCCAACCCGAACGGAAATTTTTGAAAAAATCTAAAAAATTCAAGATGGCGACGATTTTTTTTCAACCTTCCCCCACTGGGATCAAATGGGACTTTTGAGGGCTTGAATTGGAGATTATTATCTAAACATTACCGATGAGTTCACCTTGTTACTAATTTGTTCCACCCTGACCCCGCAGATTTATCCGGCTAAAATAGGATATATTTTCGTTACTATGAGTATAGGTATACTATGACTGACTATAATTGAATTTTCGCGACGAACTACTTTCATGATTTTATGAACACAAACGCTTTCGCGAGAAGCTCATGACGTCATATTCAACGTAGTTCGCCGGAAGCATGGATGCAGCTTCTAGCTAGCATTCAAACACATGACGTCACAAGACGAACTATGGTTTGTTCTTGGATGAACTACATTCGTCGCGAAAATTTTCTTTATGACTGTGCGACCTCTGCGATACCCTGTGCTAGCTCCAACGATCCTGTGGTAACGTTTTCAAGAAAAAAATTAATGCTGGGTAGGTTAAGTTAACCGAGATATGAGCTAGAAGCGCGGCAATATTAGTGCTAAGGGTGTCTATGAGAGGAGTATAGCACTAGATAAAATAAAAAATATTTCCACTAATTGTCCATAGAAGAAATCGAAAAATGGATGAATACAAGAAAAGGCTGATGAGTTCATATTTTTATTAATCAAGTTTAATTTGTATTACGAATTAAATAGCTAAGCTGTGCACTCTTCAATGTTCTTCAGGAAAGTGGCAAATCCTGCATTGAAAGTTGGTGCGAAAACTTCTTTGAAGCACTTTGGAACATCCGTACCAAACATAATTGTATAAATATACTTAACATCCCCCAGAGCCTGATAAATGGCACTACCTTCTGAAATTTCTGATTCGACCAGAGCGGCAACATTTGAAACATAATTATACAAGCAAAATGTTGAGCCTAAAGTACATTCATCCAAACTTCCAGCCAATCCCAAAAATTCGGCGTTTATTATTAGTGAAGCAGCAGTGGTTTCTTGGAAAGCTGCTGTAAGATTTGCTGCGAGTCGGTTATTGCACCAACCATTTTGACGAGTGGCATTGTCAACTATTTGCAAAAACAAATCTTCATTTTGAGATATGCAATTCAATTGTTTGATTTCTGCTTTGCTTGGTGATCCAGCGAGGGCGATTTCTTTGTAAGTTTCGAAAGCTTGAATCAATAGGTTGGCAGCCTTGCCAGTGACTTTTGATTGGATGTTAACAGACCATTCTTTAATAGAAGTCTCATTCTGTAATCTGTCGAGGAATCTATTGTTTAGGGCTGTTTCCAGTTTGTTAGCTACGGCATTGATTGTTTCCAGAACAGTTACGATTTGATCCTTGGAGGGCAAGATAGAGGATGATTCACCCTGGAATAAAGAATTATAGAGTTAATCGAAAATTGCAAGTAAGAAACAACTTAAGTAAAATATCTGGGAGATATAAGGGAAATAAACCTTTCCTAAAAAATGTGTAAACGAGACGAATAGTTATTCATCATACAAAGGAAAAAAGTTCTATAGTTTAGCGCGAGGTGTGGTTTGCCTCCTGACGCGAAGCGGAGGGTGACAGCATAGCAAGCGCTTAAATCTTACTTTTTTTCCCATCTATAGGATAGGTATCGGAAAAGTCCGTTATTGAGTCATGCCTAGGTTTGGCTAGGCAAAGTCCGCATTGCCGGCCACTTTAAGCAAAGTCCGAAATTATTCGATATTTCGGAAGACAATCTTCGGTTTGCTAGATGTGTAGCAGGGAAACTCCGAAATAAGTTGATATTCCGATTGCAGACGGTCGCAACTTGTCGCTACGTGTTCACATAATTGCGGCGGGGCGCGACGTCACTGAATTCTCATTCTGCATTGACTTTTGTCTTTAGCTGTAATTAGGTGGCCGTTGTGTTCAGTTGAATTTAATCGTTATTAGATTTGTGACCAAGAAGATATATGCAACTAGATATGAGTGGCTCGAGTGGAATGAAGGCGAGATTTTTGGAGAAATTAGAGAGTATGCAGAAATAAATTATTTTTACATTTCGTCGATAGAGAAGTGCAAGACAATAATTAAAGAAGTTGAAGAAGCCAAGCAAGTTGCCAAAAAAACAACTCTTTAATACCGACGTCTTAAACGTTACAATTGTTTGTGGCACTAAAAAGTTCATTTTGCCATTGTCTGCGCAAGTCACTGAAGTGAAATACTTTGTTCCCAATGAAAAATTGTTTGAGGTGCTAGATAATGCTCACAAGGAATGTGGTCATGCTGGAAGAGATATTATGATTAAAGCACTGAGCAGCAAATATGCTAACGTAACTCGAGAATGCATTACACTTTACTTAGGGCTATGTGAAGCCTGCTAGAAGAAGAAAAAGCATAAAGAAAAGGAATTACCGTAAACCCTTTGCTATTCCGAGAAGTGGATTCGAGAGGAAAAGTCGCTCTTATCAATGTGCAGACTTGACCTGATGGTGATTTCAAATATATCCTCAATTACTAGGATCATCTTTCGACATATCTAGTTTAGCGTCTACTACGAATGAAAAGTGCAAAAGAGGTCGCTTATTATTCAATAGACATTTTTTGCATTTTGGGAGCTCCTTCTGTGTCTGATAACGGATGAGAATTTGCGAATCGCCTTGTTGAAGAGCCGAAAGTGATGTATAGTCTTCGGAAAACCCACGTCATTTCCAAAGCCAGAGAAGTGTGGAGCGGTCTAACCAGGATGTTGAAAACGTATTGTCTGCCTGGATGGAAGATAATAAAACCAAGCGTTGCAGTGAGGGTCTGCGCTTCTGTCAGTTACAGAAAAAACAATGCTTATCACAGTGGAATCCGACAAACTCCGATTGAAGCAATGTTCGGTGAGTAATGGTTAGGTAAGTTACTGTCTATGTTGGTAAATAATCGATTTCGTTATTTTTAGGAAGAAAAGCTCATGCTGGAATTCAGACTTCACCTGCTTCGGTAAAAAGGTACTGAAAACTGAAGAGGAATTAGAAGAAGCGCTTGCTACTGTTGATTCCAATAGAAGTGGAGAAATGAATAATCTGAGCAGGAAAAATCCGATTCTGAAAACGACAATTCCAAAGCCACTGTCAAGCTCTACACAAAACTTATGTGCTATTTGCTCTAAGAAAACTTCAAGTCCTCACAAGTGCAGAAACTGTGGTGAAATTGTTCACTTGAGTTGCGCTCTAAGTACCAGTGGTACCAGTGCCAACGATGACGAAGAGGGTTTTGGAGCATCAATTCTATGCCTCCGCTGTGCGCAGACAATTTCTGCAACTATAAACAAAGAAGTTGCCTATGAAGGATAGAGAGTTCCAGCAGAGAAGATGAAGCAGCTATCGCAGAAAAAATTTCTGGAAATTGGCTAGTTCTGCCTTTTTGCAGATGACCGGAAAAAGGCATAATAAGCTCTAAGAGAAATCGTGTTCCGACGTTTAAATGGACATTGAACGAGACTTTACCACGAATCACGATAGGAACGACTTCCGCAGCAACTACAATACATATAGCAGGAAAAAATAATTAAATCGTAGTTTTTAAATAAACACACATCACGGATGACATCTTTGGATTGCCTTATTTTGTTTTTCTATTATTTGTTTTTAATTTTAATTTTCTGATCATCGCCTGATTCTTCCGAAGAGTCCTCGAGTGCATATTTCCAGCAAAAAGCAACGGAAATAGTTCATTCAGAACGAGAAAAACCAAGACCCCACCACTTTTACTGTTTTACAGTAGCTTCCCATATGCAGCAAACACAATGACGTCATTGTTGGATGTTTCTCATTCACAAACATCTTTGGTAGATTTGTTGTTTGGTTTCTGATTTTCAAATATTTCGGTTGAATGTTTTCTCATTTCCAAGAATGTCTGGTAAATTTATTGCGTGGAATGAGTCAGTCAAGTTTGAGAAATTTCGAAGATATGTCTGTTGAATTGGTCGTCATTCTTTGTGAATTTGTCATTAGTTTTTAATTTTTTCGTTCTAAAGAATCTCTGTTAAATCTGTCATAGTTTCCCATTCTCATAGAATAAAAATCTCTGTTGAATCTGGCTAGTTTGTTTGTCATATGCAAAAATATTTGTTAAGCTGCTTTTGATTTTTTCTGTTGGATGTTTCCCATTTTCAAGACTCTTTGGTAAATTTGTTGTTTGATTACTGATTCTCACTCAGATACTTTGGTTGAATGTTTTCTCATTTTCAAGACTTTCTGCTGAATTTATTGTGTGGTTTGGTCTCAAAAATATCAGTTGAGTTGGCTGTCATTCTTGAGAATCTGTGTAGTTCTTCATTCTAAAAAACCCATGGATCTGCTAGCTGTTTCTCATTTGCAAAAGTATGGCTCTATTTTTCATTTATCGTGTGCTTGCGCTTACTAATTTAAGGCCTGATTTATTCAATTTTGATAAACTGTTAGATAATGCAATCTGACGGATAACAATTGGCCAGCTATCGGCCGACCAATAGAAATAAAATTCTATGAAATCCAAAATAATCAATTCGAGTTACAATAGCTTTGAAGTGAACAAGCCCAACTGAAAAACAGCACATACTCAATACAAAAATGAAGAAGATGAGGAAAATCTAAATTTATGTTGAATGTTAAAATGATTGTTTTTTTTTGATGAAATTATTTTAGGTTTTTATTAGTTTTTGAGGTTTTCAACTGAAAATGCTCCTAACAACGATGGAATTTATTGAACTGATTTTTTTCTGAAAAACGCTGTTTGTTTTTCCTATTTTTATTAAAAGTATCAAAAATATGTGATATCTGGGTCAACACTACTTGATGTAATTTTTGATTTCCTATAAGAAATGTATTAATATTGACAATTTCTCAAAAAATTGATACTTATGTACATACAAAAATATCAACAAAACCATAAAGAACAAAAAGGCGGCCATTTTTTTCTAACTTGCCATTGCAATATTTTATGGGACTTTTAGTATGTCATTAATGACCATAAAAACAATACATTTTTGTTGAAAAACTCTTGTCTTTAATTTGTTCTACCCGAATTGCCAATTTGATCACACTACAACCCGATGAAGCCGCTAGCGCTTGTATTAAAGATGTCGCTGAGTTCGCGAACCGTAGTCACTTCTTTTAAACGCCATTAAAAACTGTTTTACCTAGCTAATAATCTGAAATACTATTATTTCATTTATTTGCATCTGAATAAAATTATTTAGTCCACTGTACATTACTGTGTAAACAAATTAACATTAAAGATGTCGCGTACTTGACGCTGCTCAATTGCAAATAAAATTTTAAACGTTATAAACTGAATACGAAGTATAAAGAATATTTCAAAAAGTCAAAAAAGAAATACATTTAAAAAATGTACCTAACTTGAAAGTTTTCAAAAAACCTGGATGTTTAGGAAATAAATCCGAAAACTTGAAAAACTCCCCAAAGCAGAAATGTGTGTCAAAAATGCGAAGAAAGGCGAAATATTTATGTAGAACTAAACCAGACTAAACATAATAAAACTTAGGTGATAAATTATGTATATAAAATAGCAAATTAGGCAAGTAAACTTTGGTAGTGACGATTTAAGTTGTACCCCTGTTATACTTAACAAAGACAATTTACTAAATAAAAATAATAATTTCTTACCTTTGCCACAAAGGCAGTGAAAACTAAGGCAAAGCAGAGGAAATTCATGCTTATTCGAATTATTTTGTAAGTCGTAACGTTCTGTTTTTTTTTTCCGGATATTTATATAGAACTTTATCAGATAGGTAGGTACTCAAATATAACGTGATTGTCATTAAATACTTGAATATTTCATCAGAGTCAACTTTGTACCCATTCAATTTTGGTATATCATTGGAAATATAAACAGATTGGATAAGTGAAAAGCTACGATAGTTTCGTTTAAAGAACCTATGTAGTAAATTTGATGCATTATATCCTAAGTTTTGTACTAAATTTTTCGGTATGCGAATTATGCGATGTCTTTTGCTCTTGATGGGCCTAGCTGCTCTCGGACCATAACTTCCGACACCGATGTTTTGTGGGTCTTCTCCCAAATTATCGAGGTATCCAGCCATAACGATGCACTGCACCTTGCACATCACTAGTATGATTGTGTATGATAAGATAAGATAAGATAAGACTCTTATTCGATCAAATACATTTTTTACCCATAGGGTGTCGATCATGTCAATAATAGTAGATTATACCACGAGTCAATAATGATAGCTATTATTCCCGAGGATTATTACGAACTGAGCCGCGTTAGCGGCGAGGGAGTAACATTCCGAGGGAATAATAGCCATTAATGCCAGTAGTATACTCTACTTTATTTACGACAAATTAATTTATTTGAGATTTTCAATGAACAAATTTCATCCGTCTCATAATTTTCAATACAAATCCACAAGCACTACACGTTTGACACTGACACTTTTGTGGAATAATGACCATTAATCCCGCTACTCGTCATTAATCCCTGGAGGAATAACATATGTCATTATACTGCCAAAATCACAAATATAATAAGCACATTATACATTAGTCGTAAATAATAGTATATTACAATCCGAGACGGGAAATGCATCATCACTGGTCGAGAGGTTATATAGTTTATCGAGACGCGTAGCGTCGAGATAAACTGAACCTCGAGACAGCAATGAAGTTTCCCGTCGAGAGTTGTATACTATTTTATTTTTAACCATAATTTCTTAAAAAAAAAAAATCGGGGCAACCAATTGAGGTTGGTAAATGAGGAGGGAAATGAGAACAGGAAATATTTCCCTGCTCCATTTTCCGTCCGTGGACGGGAAATGAGGACGGAAAAAATTTCCCGTCCTCATTTCCCGTCCTGGGACAGGTAATAGAGCAGGAAAATGAAAAGACAGAAATGTGACATTTTCAAATTTTTGAAAAGTCAGTAATGACAACATTTTATATATGGTTGAAAATAAAATAAAATAAATTGAAAAATAAATAAATACAGTACAATACAATACATACACTTGAATTAAACAAAAAAAAACCCACAAAATTTATAATTTTTCAGAACACACACTAGCATAAAACATACCTACACTAAAGCTAAAGCTGAAACAAAATCTACGAAACCATGAGCTTCCGTTTCACAGTTGATCTTGACGTTTAGAGTTCGAGCACATGAGAGGTCAGTGCAAGCACCTAATTGTAAACTATTGTTGTTATTGTTACTAGATAATAGTACCTATATCGTTGTATTAGGAGTAGAAGCTTCACTTTTTTGTGCTGAAGCGGTAGGTTTGCGAGCCGAACGTAGTGAGGCTTGCAATACTGCTAAAGCACAAAAAAGTGCTTCTACTCCGTATGCCACACGCTATTTGTTCTCCAAACGAATGGGGTAAGCTCGGGGCCAAGTGAATGGTTGAGCGGCAGTAAAAGTACGAGATTATTATTTTTTTCTGTTCTTATATATTTCCACAAATTTTTGACCTGGGCTGGGACTCTGTAACGGATAGAGATCGTTATCCCTATCGCCATGGCACCTGCTGTCTTCTTCTCTCTTTTCGAAATCAATAGAGAGGGAACGTCAATAGAGATAGAGAAAATATCTCTATTAGTTACAGAGTTCTAGCACTGATTATCAGAAAAGAATTCCTCCAAACTATAGTAGGCTTTAGAGCTCAAGAAAATGTTGAGCAGTGTTGCCAGATTTCACGATTATTCGTAAGATTACACGATTTTGGTTAGAATTTCACGATCTCACGAATGAGGTAGCAATTCTTACGAATTCTTTCTGTAGTAATACAAATCACTAATCGAATTTAATGTAATCGAGAATAATCGAAATAAAAATCTACTATACAATATTTAGTTACGCCGCTCCTGGTACATGCGCGCCTGAACACTTAACGTATATAGGACTGCTTATTGAGCTGAAAGTGTTCGCCAAGTCCATAAGACCCCACTATTTGTGACGTCAGCTGTAGACTTCAACTCTTGGAAGAAAATGCATTATCCGAGTCCAAAAAACGGATTCATAAACGTCAAATTACCTTTTCTAAATTTAAAATTCCCAAAAAAATTAACTCACAAGAACAGCCTGAATGGCAAGCAATCCATCGAGGTCTGCGGGTGACGTCACCACTATCAGCTGCTGATAGTGGTGACGTCACTCGCAGACTAGCTGCTGCCTCGAGAATTGGCGAACGTACACCTTATTAGGATGAGCAATCCTGCGGATAGTGAAAACGAGGTTCAGCTTTCAGAAACACCTGCTAAAAAACGGAAAGAACAAGGATACAAGATTTATTAATAAAATGTTTATTTCTTATGGATGTAAAATCATGTTTACTTTATCAAAAATCTATGAAAGAACATTGTTGTGCTTTATTTTCTTACAATATTGAGCAATTTTTAGTCTCACGATTTCTCACGAATATTCTTTCTCGATTCTCATGAATTTTTTTAAATTCATCTGGCAACACTGATGTTGAGTGTTTGCTTGATCATCTGTGGCGGTTGTTTCCGGAAGACAGGGGGAAGGGCATTCTAGACTTTCAGAATACTATATTTAACGTTTTTTTGAGATGTACGAATAATAAGCAGTTTCAATTTTCAGATTCTCTTTAAATCGAGTATTATGGCTGTGATCTGATTTCAATTTTTCAAAAATATCTGGATTTTCCGACATAAACTTGGTGCATTCAATAATGAAAATGTTAAAAACTGTTGGAAGACTGTTTTCAATAAAGAGATTTCTGCAGCTTTCTCTGTTTAAATTTATAATTTGTGTTTTTGCTACATTCAGCTGGAGAATATTATTCGTAAACCAATTTTGGAGAGTTGAAAGGGAATCTTGGACATTATTGTTATGCAAGTTTCTTTTGTTTTTTTCACAGCAGATGACAGAAGAATCATCCGCAAAAAGCATCACCTCGCTATCTAATATGTCGGCAACTTCATTTGTATAAATGAGGTAAAGTGATGGACCTAGGATCGATCCTTTTGTTATTTTTGAGAAATCTGACTTTTTAACTCACCTATTTGGTTTTCGGAAATCACACTTTGTTTTCTAAGTTTAAGTATGATTGAAAAAGCTTGTGAGCTTGGCCGCGTACCCCAATTCTCTCCAACCCGACAGAGCAGACCATGGTCCAGGCTGTCGAAAGCTTTTGAAAGATCAAGGCAGACAGCCATTGTCACGTTGTTTTTATTGCGAGACTCCAGGATTCGATTTAATGCCATATAAATAGCCCTGAATGTTGTTTTTCCCTTCCTAAATCCGTTTTGTTTTTCGCTGAGTATTGAATTTTCCTCAATAATACTCAAAAGCCTGACATAAATTACCCTCTCAAATATTTTACTAAAAATGGACAACAAGGAAATAGGTCGATAGTTTTTTAGGTCATTTAATGGACCCTTTTTGTGAATGGGTTTAAGTAGAGCAGTTTTCAAATTTGACGGAAAGATACCAATTTGCAAAGACAAGTTTACCAAATAAGTGAGAGGAGCAGCAATGATGTTAGCAGCTGCGTTCACAACACTTGCAGAAATTTCGTAAGTTGATTTTGTGTTTTTCAGCTCTTAATAATTTTCTGATTCTCCTGGGGTGTCACCGACCGGAAAACCAGACTGTTGGCCGTTGGGACATGCTGGCTGGTTCATCCCCATTAGGTTGAATACTCGCCCCCTGCACCATATCTGGGCAAACATTCAGAAAGAAGTCATTAACCTCATTCAGAAACTCGTTCTCGCTCTGACTTGAAATATTTGAATATATTTTGTAATGGTCTTTACTTATTATACCGTTTCTAAAATCTTCTAACAGTAACCTTTTGTTCATATAGTCCTAGAGTAGAAATCAAACGAGAAGAAGCCACACGGGTTATCGTTTGTCTCACTTTAAATGGTAGGGACGCAGAGAAAAGGAAATCTGCTTTCTTTGTCAGCGCTGATGACAGTGGCTTCTTCTTGTTTGATTTTTACTCTAGGGGTTAACGACAATTCTGGCCGAAATCCTGCAAATTGTGTTAAAAGCATGAAACTTGGTAAGCAACTTAAATAGGTCAAAATAAGAGATTTTGTCCGCAGTACTCAAAAAAATCCCTATGCAGCAGCTCTGGGGTGGAGTACACTCTAGGGGGATCGAATTTGCAAATAAATTAAATAATAAACAATGCGGGCGAGTAATATGTCATTTTATATTGATTTGATATCGCTGAAGTCAATTTAAATATTATTTATCCCATTCTGACGTTTAAAAATGACATTACTGAACGCATAACAATAAAGGTAAGTAGACGTTTATCACCTCTATTTTTAACTCACTCTCGGTATTTTTCCTTGTACTCTATTTTTTAAATTTCCACAAAATGGGATAAAATTTTGTATACATTAGGTGTGTTAAAATGTTTATTCATTCGAAGAAAATTAACCCACTCGCTAGGGCTCGTGGGTTAAACTTTCTTCTCATGAATAAAAATTCATTTAACTCACTTGGTGACTATTTTTTTATAAATTTAAAATTTTCAAAATGGCGGCCAAATTTCGATTTTCAAGCAACATTTTGTTAAATTCGCTAGTATTACGAAAATTGCAGAAAATTATGGGATTTTTTTATTTAAATTACAATTTCTTATGATATATTTTGGCATCCTGGAGTACCCTAATAAATACTTCGGAGGAGCAGGTCTAGAGTTGCCAGACGTCCCGATTTCAACGGAACAGTCCCGACATTGGAAATTTTGTCCCGTGTCCCGATGGACTATACGTCGGGACGCT